CAGAGGTCCTCTTGTCCATCTCTGTCACTGCACAAATGGGGAAACTTGGGCCCCTGGATGAAGTACTTTCTCACAGTCACATGGCTAGTTAGCAGCAGTCAGAACAAAAACACAGGATTCCTAGCTTCCAGAAAAGTGCTTTCTCCAGAGAGATAGGTAGGTGAGTAGGTAGGTAGATAAATAGGAAGAGTGTGTGTGTGTGTGTGTGTGTGTGTGTGTGTGTGTGTGTGTGTGTGTGTGTTACAAGGAGCAAGGAGCAGGAGAGGAGGAAGTAATAATGATAATGCAGCCCCACACTTCAATTCTACTATGCGCCAGAATTTCCACTGAAGTCAGACTGAGGAATTTCAATGGCTCAGAATTAATGAGAGCTGTGTTAGGTATCCTTATTGCTGAACTCTTTGACCCGTTTTTCTATTCCACTCAGCCTGTTTAAATACCACACAGGCCACCTCATCATAGCATCTATAGGCACTACTGTTCCCTAGCACTGTGATCTCGAGCTAAAGGCTCGAGCTATAAGGAAACAATTCTAGTGACTTTCTGCTTCTTTCACAGATCATAATATCCTGGCAGACATCTCTCTCCTGGAAAATTAGAATCATGTCATTTGCGTACCTGAGGACCTTTTAGCAGGGATCACTGAGATGATAAGCTCTGTAAAGTTTTTAGATGAAAGGCTCTATAAACACCTAGTATCACTCCTTAGCATTATTAATATTGATGATAATTCTATGACAGAATGACACTTACTATGTATGTGCTGCCGCCATTATATCATTATCACAAACTCTAATTATAATACTTTGAGAAATTGAGGTGTTATTTTATATTGCTTTGTATTGTGGCCGTCTATTCTCATATCTTTTTGCAAAGCAGGAAGAGGTGTTCTTCTCGTAAGGATAAGAAATTCTAGAAGGCCGTGGAGGATGTGCAGCACCTCACCTCCGACCCCGTTGTGCTGACCCCTCCAAGAAAGGGTTTCCCACACCTTCAGGAAGACTCCTTTCAAAGGCCACTCTGAACATCTTTTCTCCAGGGGGCTCTTCCCATGTCATCATCTGAGTGTAATTTAATCATATTTGGTGGGGCTTTGCTCACAAAGCAACTGGCCTCACAACTATTTCTTTGCATTGCAATGAGAGTCCTCGTTTTTTACTCAGAGGAGAACCAGGGTCCTTTGACATCCTTCCATTCTGTCTCTTTCTCGGCAGCTGATGCCTCTCTCATGAACCCCAACGCGTTTCAGTCTGCACAACACTTGGCCGAGGTTCTATTATCCTTCCTTGTCCCCTCTTTGGTTAAATAGGATTACAGTCTAGTCATCTAGCTCTGGTGGATGATTGAAAGACACAGTTTTTTAAAGTGTTCAGATGCTTAAATCTACATTTAAGCAAATCTATATGAAGTAATTGAGTATCTTTGCTGTTTTGAGGAAAATGTATGGAAGAAAATGGAAGGGCAAATAAGAAAATGAAAGTGTGTCTGCGAAGACATACTTCCCCTCCCGGTTTATGGCCCTGAAGGAATCCAACCCTTCAGATACCTCCCAGATTCCTTGTTTTAAAAAATTGTTTAAGCAATGATTTACACTAGTCCATATTTGACTGAAAGTATCTGAAAAGCAACAAACCAGTGGTAACTTAAGTTTCCCCTTTATGGGTACTGGTGTTTCATAAATGAACCCAGTATGTTCCAGCCGCAAAACTTTTTCCAAATTTATAAGGAATTTAAGTTAATGAATGCAGTTTTTAAGATTTTTCTCCCATAAAGCATTCCTAAATCTTTGACTTTCTTGGACCCATCAGAATCTAATGAAAAATGGTTTTTTTGTACAACTGAGAATTTTCTGTTTTGTTATTTGAATTACTGGTACTTCTAGTATTTTAAGTAGGTTTCAGATTCTCTGCCATCCAAAAAACAAAAAAATACTGAGAATCACTTTGTATAAATCACAAAGTATATTTCGGAGATTGTCCTCAATGTTTTTAATATCTCACCCCCTTGGAAGAGTTCAGTTTTCTCAAAGGAAGGCTAATTCATAAAAATAACCAAGATAATATTTGGCAGCATTATACCACTGCCTAGCATTATCATCTCTATCTTTTGTCTTTTCCCTATTTTTCAATATTTTCTTTCTTCCTATGTTTTATCATTGCTACCATTAATTGAATATATACTATGTACTCACCATGTGCTAACCCTCACATGAACTATGCAGCTGAAGACAGAAAGGCTCAAATATGCCAAGTAACACATCGTGGGGCACACAGTAGGTAATGGGAGGACCAACAGGTGCAAGTCTGCTTTTCTTCAAAATCTGTGACTTTCTATCCTGTGGGGGCTTCACTCCCCTTTCTCTCCTACCACACACTGACCTTTGCCTTTCCATTTTTTTCTTACATAATTGTAGTAAAACACCCATGACATAAAATTTATCATCTTAACTGTGTGTAATGTACAGTTTTGTGGCATTAAGTGTACTCACTCAGTGCTATCATCACCACCATCCATCAACATAACTCTTTTCGTCTTGAAAAACTGAAGCTCTGTACTCTCTGAACAAGAGCTCAACATCATTCCGCTTTCTGTCTATATGAGCTGACTCCTGTCGGGATGTCATATATGTGGAATCACATAATGTTTGTCCTTTAGCGACTGGTTCATTGCACTTGACATAATATCCTTAAAGTTCCCTCCACTGTAGCCTGTGCCAGACATCTCGCTTAAGGCCGGGTAGTATCCCACTGTAAGCACACAAGTTTATCTCACTTTGTCCATCCACACATCCAGCACTGCACACTTGGGTTGCTCCACCTCTCACTGTGCATAACGGTGCCACGAACATCAGTGTCCTGTTTTCCCTGTGAATAAGCTTCCCCTGCTTCATCTTCTAATTGCTTGTCAGTGAGAGCCAGTAATAATGCTCTGTCCCACTGATTAAACCTAGGAAATGACCGTCAAACTGTTTAAGCTGTGGATCATTTCACTTCTCTTTTTCTTGTCATTTTTTTCTCTTTTTTTAGCTTTGCCTTTTTTTTCAAGATTGGTTTTGCATGGTAATGAATAGATAGTCTGTCATTTATCTGAGTCTCTATATTTCTCCTGAGTCTGTATATAGGAATGGGCAAAATTAGGTTCACAATTGCGAATAATGTGAAACATGGTTTACTCTTATATTATTATTTATTAGTTATCGTATTTTATTCCATATGAACAACTGTAAACCTACTTTTGCCCAAACCTGTATTTCTGTCTTTCACTACAGTTAAGTGGAACTCCAATAAAAACTCTTTGAACCTGCAGAGGAATTGTGTCAAAGAGCCAAGCAGCCTGCATTTATTGAATGCAAGACATTAGGCGAAGTGTGTGTGTGTCTGTGTGTGTGTGTGTGTGTTGGAGGTGAGGGTGGCGTTGGCAGGAGTAGAGATTCGGTTCCCAAATTCAACGAACTTTTAACTTGTGAGTGTTTGTTACTTTATTAGTTTAAATTTGGAATTTTTACTGTCAGATTCTTTAATATGTCTGGGATGAATTTGCCTCCCACCACGCCCACCCCACCCTGTTCCCCTAGGACTTTTGACAATGACTGAGGCATTTTGATTGTCACAGTTGGTGAGAGAGTACTATTAGCACCTAGTGGGTGGGGACCAGAGATGCTCATCGATGGCCCCCCAGAACAAAGATCTGGTCCCAAATGTCAATAGTGCCAAGGTTGAGATACCCCATAGTATGTAATATTACTTAATTTAATGTTGATTAATCACCTAATAATGAACATGAAAAGACACAAATCATTTTCCTAAGGGAAAATTCCTTATGAGACTGTAATAACTTGTAATCAAGCTAGCATTTTCCCTTCTATAATTTTAACTATTTGCTAATCCAGAATATAAAATTGTAACTTCTCGAGTGGAATTTTAATATCTCAAGAAAATTTTCTAGTAGAAATGTTTTACTTTAAAAACATAACACAGTATGCAATATATTGGCAATTGGCAAAAAGAAGAGACCATTGCGTGGTTAATAAACTCTCACTGCCTTTGAAAGGCATTGTGCAATTGCTCCCTGAATAGTCTTCTCCTCACTGCTTTACTCAGACTACAGTATATTTACATGTTACCCCTGTACAGATATTTTAGGAAGTAGTACTCTTGGCCCTAAAAGGATGTTTTGATGGAAAATACTCCATGGATAACCCAGTCACTTCATAGATGTCATTAGAAATATTTACTATCTGCCTTTCCATAAAGTGGAACTTTTTAATAAAATGGAACTTTAACAAATGGAATGGTGCCCTGGCTGGTGTAGCTCAGTGGATTGAGCACAGGCCTGTGAAGCAAAGGGTTGCCAGTTCAATTCCCAGTCAGGGCACATACCTGGGTTGCAGGCCAGGTCCCCAGTAGGGGACATATGAGAGGCAACCAGACATTGATGTTTCTCTCCCACTCTTTCTTCTTCCCTTCCCCTCTCTCTAAAAATAAATAAATAAAATATTTTTAAAAAGAAAATGCTTTAAAAATGGAATAGCTCCAAAGGAGAATCGTTTGGAGATGTACAGACACCCTGCCAGGTATCCTACTGGGCACAGAAAAGCTGGACAGCCAGTCGCTGTGTGTAGGTCTGAACTTGTCTCTGAACCACCAGGAAGGATTCCACGGTGTCGTTGACCAGGAAGCTGGCCTGGGCGTGGGTGCATGGGGCATGCGTTTGAATGCTTGCCCCACTAAACAAGGCTCATCTAGGTTTGTAACAGAGTAAGTGCGTTCTTATCAACAGTCTCCTACTCTTTGTACACCTTCAGTGCTGAGAGATGAACATTGCTGTTCATGGTAGGATTCCTGAAATTTCTACTTAATCACCAAAAAAGAATAAGTCCTGGCTTGGCATTTCAGTTGTCTGGTCGTATCGCAGAGATTGTCCTGACAGTGCCTTCCTGCACATAGACATGAATTGATCCTCAAGCATCGGAATCAAGAATCCATGTTTTTCTGTTCCAGGACGTGGGAAGAAGGCAAGGTGCTCATCTTCGACGACTCCTTCGAGCACGAGGTGTGGCAGGACGCCACGTCTTTCCGGCTGATATTCATCGTGGATGTGTGGCACCCAGAGCTGACACCCCAACAGAGACGCACCCTTCCTGCAATTTAGCATGTTGTGTGGGCTTGGGACACTCTGGAGAGAGACTGCCTCTCTAGCTGTATCTCCTTGGGTGTGGGGATAGAAGTTCACTCAGCAATGCCTTTCATGTCCTTGATTGGCAGCCTGAAAATCTCTGAACCGCCTCCTAGGGTTAGAAGACACTAAAGGGAATATTTGCCTTGCTGCAATTTACATAAGAAATGCCCGGATGTATTTCATCCCATGAGAGCATCGTTCTGATGTCTATATTTCAGGTAAATACATGATAGCTTCTACCTTGCCAGCCAAAGATGTTTTTTTCCATTTAGAATGGGCGAAATCAGTGTACAGTGAGAATACATGTAGCAACTGTGAACGGATTGCTTTAGCTTGTAATTTTTCTATGCAGTTATATTTTTCTAGGGTAGCTAAGTGATTTTTTGTCATCACATACCACTACTTTTTTGTTGATTTTAATAACAAGCTGTGTAAAATGCTTTACTTCTAGCTGTTTATAGTGGTAACTTTCCTGGTGAACTCAGACTTCCCTTTTTTAATTATTTTTAGACAAAGACACTCATGAAATCAGCAGTTTGACTTTCCCAATACAAATGAAAAACCTGTAATTATGCCAATGTCTGTGAACTGTACAGCTCCCCACCCACTGAGTCTATTTGCTTTTTTATCTTCATTGAGAGCTAGTGTCCTCGTTTCTCTCGTCCCCATGAGAAAGGTGCAGACACCGCCCAAGTGGCATTTCTTGCTAAGAGGAAGCCTTTACACTGAAAGGGGACATGGGATCGTTTTATACTGAGTCATAAAAATGCCACATGTAAATGTTTTTAATGCCAAGTGTTAGGGCTGAACAAAAAAAGTAAAGTTTTTCCAAGTAAAAAATTTTCTCTCAGGATCAGGTGGAGCTGTGGCTGCCAGGGCACTGGCTGCGGGCCTGGTTGCAGTCCAGGGGACGGGGCTGGACCCCGGGTGTCTTTGCCTGTGGTAGGTCCATGTGAGTGACAGAGTCTGTGATGGATTCCCATCACAAGTTTTCAAAAATATGAAGGAAGGCAGAATGGAAGACTGAGAAGGCCAGGATCTTTGTCCTGAGTGTAGGGTGTCAAGATTGCCCTCCTCTCTGAAAGAGCTTAGGAGTCTTCCAGCTCTTTTGCTTGAAAAACTTCTGCCATTTAAACATCACTTTGAAAAAGCAATTATTATCCACAACTTAGCTTTAATATTACCCACAGCATCGAAACAGCTGTTGAAAATGGTCTTGCCTACTCATTCCAAAGATGACCAAGTCATTAATTTGGTACATTATTAATGCATTAAATTTTGTTTTTAAAATTAAAGCTAACTAAGAATGTTAGCTATAGGAATGTAATAATATCAGTGCACTGAACTTAAGCTAATATGAACAAAAGCGCTGGAAAAATGATACATAGGTTACCAAGAATTTATAGGTTAAAAAAAAATACTCGTGATTTTTTTTCCATCCAATGACGAAAGAGGATGCTTTCTTATCTCATTTAAAAAACAGTCCTTTAAAATTGAAATGGACTTTTCCGCTCGTTCTTAAAGCCCATTAGCTTCTAGGAGAAGTTTGCAAACTATTTTTTGTGTTCCCTTCTGTGTTGCCAGTATTCAAAAAACTCACTCAAATAGATGAAGAAGTATGTGAGGAAAATAGCAAAATTAATTCCCAAAGTCCAGAAGAAAAGGCACACTCCTGAAAAATAAACAGGTATTTTTGTCCTTCAGTATTTATTGAACAGAGGAAATGACTGACAAAGGACAATACAATCAGTGCTCGTGTGGTAACATTCATGTCACTTACACAGTTTGGTTCTTGTATGTATATTGCATACACAAAGAAATTCAAAGAATAAGTTGTCAATGTTGGATCATCATCTTACAGTCATGTAATGAAATCATGGAATGGAGTAAAAACAAGCTCTTTCACTTAGTAATTATAATATGGTATTTAAAATCAGGTCACTACAGGATCCTAAATATTGCCAATTGAAAAGCCAGAATTGTCATTACTGTTGCAAAGAGTTGGCAATAATTGCATTTTAGGCATTTGGATTCCACAACTACCTTATAAACCAAGTAATAAAATGGATTTTCTAATTCACTTTAATTCTTCATCTTTCGTCTCTATGTCACGGTATATAAGAAAAGTGTTTCAGTCACCGCATTTGGTAGAATTATTTCAATATTAATTTGAAATTGCTACACAAAACGAGTTAGTTTATTAATACTGTGATACAACTGGCTCAGAAATATTTTTAATTCTATTGCAATTTTATTTCAAGGGAGAAATACAAAAATTACTCCTGTTAATTGTTATCTACCAGTAGAAAAAAAATGAAAACACCAGATCCATCGAGAAAGAGATCCATAAATGGTTAAGAATAGTAATAATATCCACTGAGGGTGATTTATGGCCAGTTGAATCACCTCTTTCTTTTGAATTTTGAATTTTGTAGCTATAACAAATTAACCCTCTGAAATCCTTAAAACGTAAAATCATATTTTACTGCCCATTATCAACGAAAATATTTTTATTTGGCATTGAGCACCAACTGGTCATCCTGACGAATGGCCGTGCCTTGCAGGTGATGGGGGAGTAGGAGATCTCTAAAAACACACGGCTGGTTTGGGGCAACATGGCACGAGTGAGGACGTCATGTCCTGTGATATCTTTAATTGTATCTAATTTCCTTTGAATGGACAGTTGGGGACTCATTTCTAAGGAGAATAAACAAAGAAATACAATGATCTTTGGCATTTCATCCTGCATTCCTAGTCTTCTCTTATTTTCAGCACTTGCATATTTGGCCATCCTTAAGGGTCTTCCTCCAAGATTGAATACCTACCCACTCAGCAACAGCCAGGCCCTTTCTCTACGCATTTAACTGGTTGTAGTGAGGGGAAGGGAGTTAAATGCTTTAGTTGCACTTTTCTGAGCTGTAGTGACCCAAGTGAGGCAACTTGAATGGATTTACCAACCACTGACATGTTTCCAATGGGACCCCACCCCCCGCCCCCGTATCTGCAGGCACACATTGCTTGTGGAAGTCACATTGCTAAGATGAAATAATCATATTTCACATTTTGTGCCTCTTTTAAAAGTCTGCTCATGATAATCAGCTGGTAGCCTGACAAAAGATGTGATGTCAAAATCACTTTTGCAGGATATCAAAATAAGCAAACTCTGAAAATAGCCAGACCTCAGAAAACATGCTCTTAGGCTGAACAAGTTGATGCTGGTGATGAGGTCAAAGAAAATAATTCAATAAGAATGGAAATTACTGGAGATACTATTGTCTCAGGGCTTTTGTACTACATTAAACTTGACAACTGTGTCTGCACAGTTTTATTCTGATGTATCTACTTGGAAATGCACTTAATCTTAAATTGCAGAAACTGAAGGTCTCTGTGCAATGCCTCAGAAAATTCCTTGTTCTAATGCAGTGTGCATTGAATTTAGTTTTTCTCTTTTCAATTCATTTAATACCATAAATGTGGGGGAGAGGGATCTTGTTTACATAACTGCCTTGCTTTATCCTCCATTCAATACCCTTACTGAAAAACACAAAGAAACATCTCTCAAGTCTTTGTTTAACTTTGGCTACTCCAGCCAGGGGCTGGTGACAGTCATTACTGGGTGGCAGGAGTGGAGAGCCTTGTGTCAAGCCAAACACACATGTCTGTAGGGGTCAGTTGCACATGTGCCTCCTGGGTGGCTGATGCCACTGACGGTTGGCATTATGCGGGGACATGGAGTGACTCAGGGATCAGTCCAGAGCCAGAAGTGGCTGAGTGTTCTCATTCTCTCCCTTCTCCTCGTGCTTCAGAGTCCCAGCTTCTACCACGGACTGCGATCTAATAGTATGAGAAGGAAGGAAAAAGATATAATTACAAAAAGTTCATGATGGCAACAACTTTGGCATTCAGATTTTATGTTTCCCTTATTAATCAAGACACTCAACATGAATATTTAATCCCCCCTTTTGTAGCTCTGTTTTCCTTGCTTTTTTGTCTTCTATACCACATTTTTATGGGGAGGAGCATCTTGGAATTCTTCTTTGTGGAGCACTCATCTGTTGGTAAAAGGAACATGTATTCTAGCCACAACTCTGCCCCAGCATCTATACATTCTCTAGATCTTAAGGAGTATATGGTGAAATGAATTTTGTTTGATTTTTAATGTTTTTAAATACTTTTTTATGGTTTCTTTCTGTTTTCATTGATTATGCTGTTACAGTTGTTCTATTCCCCCCTTCAGTCCCCTTCACCCTAACCCCCGTCCCCACCATTACCCCCCCTTTAGTTTATGACCATGTGTCTCAAGTTCTTTAGATTCTATATTTCCCATACTATTCTTGCCCCCCATCTATTTTCTACTGTCTATGCTACTTATTTTCTGTACCTTCTCCCCCCTTCTCCTCCTCCCACTCCCCTGTTGCTAACCCTCCTTGAGATCTTCATTTCTATGTTTCCACTCCTGATCTAGCTGTCCTTTTAGTTTGCTTTTGTTTTAGGTGTGGTTGTTAATAACTGTGAGTTTGTTGTCCTTTCACTGTTCATGTTTTTTTTAAGTTCTTTTTCTTAGATAAGTCCCTTTAACATTTCATATAATAAGGGCTTGGTGATGATGAACTCCTTGAATTTGATCTTATCTGAGAAGCACTTTATCTGTCCTTCCATTTTAAATGAAAGTTTTGCTGGATAGAGCAATCTTGGTTGTAGGTCTTTGGATTTCATGACTTGGAATACTTCTTTCCAGCCCCTTCTTGCCTGTAAGGTCTCTTTTGAGAAATCTGCTGACAGTCTGATGGGGACTCCTTTGTAGGTGACTGTCCCCTTAGCTTTTGCTGCTTCTAGGATTCTCTCCTTCCTTCATTTTAATCTTGGCTAATGTAGTTATGATGTTTTTAAATACTTTTTAGAGCCTTTGTTTCTCAAAGTCATAGGAAACTGCCATGCATGATGAAACTGTCATGCTTTGGAATCAGATGGTAAATACAGACTGTGCTCTTTACTGGCTGAGGAGTTCTTAAGCTCTGGACCTTTATTCTCTTATCTGTAAAATAGAACTATTAACTACCTCCCACAGTTGATAAGGACTCCACTAATATACATAATGCATTTGACATGTAATTGTAGTTAAAATTAATGGAGGACACTATTATCACCATTATGGCAATTATAGTAGTGATCTTTAGTTTCCGATGTGTTCTTTCATATTGGACCATTAGCATTTCTTTCCTGAATTTATAACATGGATTGAAACTTAAAATTACTTTCCAGCTTATAGGGAGAAGGTTGTAAGAGTTATCCATATAGTAAACATTCAGTAAATGTTCACAGACTAAAAATAAATCAGTCAAAACATTAAGAGAATAGTTGAACTATATCATTCAAACAAGCAAGCAAAATGTACAAATATGTGCAGTAAATGCTTAACTCAGAGGTCTGAGTTGCCCAAACCCTCCACATTCTGAGTGTCTTAGGACAGACTCTGCCTTCCTCCTCTAAACCCCTAAGGTATCCTGCCTGATAGAGCATCCTTGTATACCCGAGACTCTGGCCCATGCCATATAGTATGCTTACAATACAATTGACACTGAATGCCCATTTTTGTGTGCCTGGGATTTGGGTCACACTGCATCAGTTTGACCTCTTGTGATGGGGAGGAGGAGGTGGAAGAGCTGAAGACTGAGCAGCTAAGGTCATTCACACACCCTGTATGCCTATGTGACTGACCTCCTCCACCCCAATAAAAGCCCAGGGCACTAAGGCATGGGTGAGGTTCCCTGGTTGGTGACACTTTGCACACGTCACACAGCATTGCCAAGAGAATTAACCTCTGTTCACGTGATGCCACTGGAAGGACAACTGGAAGCTTAGAACTGGCCCAGTGCACCTGGACTCCACCCAATGCACCTTTTTCTTCTGCTGGTTCTAACCAGTATTTTTCTTTTTTGCTGTAACAAACTATAACCGTGACTATAACAGCTTTTCTGGGTCCTGTGAGTCCTGCAAATTTATCAAACCTGACAATGGTCTTAAAGACTCCCAAACACAAGCTGTAATTACACTAGTATATGCATCTTTCATTGTAAGTTATTTACATGTATTAACTTGTTTTCATAATCCTAAAGAACGGCACTATTGTCTCCATTTTACAGATGGAAAAAGACACCAAAGAACAACAGCAAAAAAAAAAAGTAGCACAGGAAAAGCAAAAAAGTACAGAGTGGAGAACAGCACAGGTTTATCACCATCACACTACTCCTGGGTACACCTAAGGCTGCAGAACTGTTTATCTAAAATATTTAGTGTTTCTTCCACCTCACTGTACAAATAATTCTCTGCCTAAGATTCTTATCTCCACTCAGGATATGTATGTGCTATAGAAAGTGTAAAATCAAGAACCCAAGAAGCAAATTCATGCAGTTGTCTCAAAACAATGGGTTTGGACTCTAAATATCAATCCAATCAAACGGTTCAACTCTAAATATGAAGCTTAACCTTTGAAAATGAAATGGATTCATGTTTCCCTGGGACAGGACGAGAAAGCCCCAGGCAGCCCAGCTCTTTACACATTTTCTCTGTGTGTCTCTGTTTGTGTTAAAGCCCTGATGTACACAGGGGTGGGGCAGATGTTAATAGATTATATATGGAGCAGAAAGGCCAAAAATCCAGAGGACATGAGAACAAACCCAAATAAGCATGAAGAAAACCAGAGAAGCTCAGCCACATACCCAGGGCAATCCCTTCTAGCACCTCGGACAGCTGCCTTAGTGCTTTGCCCTACAGGCCCTGGTGAAAATAGGCGATGTTGATGGCCATTCCATTTTAGAGACTATATGGCTTTTCTCTTCTTTTATGCTAGGTGGCTTTATTTTACAACATAAGTGAATCACAGCCATAGAGTTAAAAGGGACTATTATGTATAGTAACCCAATAGGAGCTATTCAGTGAGGGGCCATACAGCCTCTTGAATATATCCAACTTGAGAACCACACTCCCCCAACCCCTAGAGGGGCAACTCTGCTAGAAGTTCTTCCTTACATTGAACTAAAACCTCTCCTTTTGCAACATCTATATACTGTTTCTGGTTCTGTCTGCTGGAGCCATCAGGTCCATACAACAGACTAAGTATTCAGTGCCCTCCAGCCCTCTCATCGCCCTCACCAAGGTGAATCAGATTCCTCTTGTGCCATGGTTTCTAAAGCTCCCCGATCCAGCACCCTCTTGTATCTCTTCATCAACTGGTTACCCACAGGGTATCATCTCAAAACAAAGTAAAAATATTGCTTCCCTTTTTTCCTTTTTGTATGCTTCTGTTGTGGCATAGAAAATGCACCTAGAATTGCATTAGTCTTTCTGACACTAATGCAACATAGTGCTGAGAAAAAATTTAGCTGCATTTATACATGCCTCTGTTGAACCCTTTCTCTCCTGTCTTGAAGGTGCTTCTTCAAATATTAAATTTCATCTTTTTAAAAAGATTTTATTTAGTTAGTTTTAGAGAAAGGGGAAGAGAAACATCAATGTGTTATTGACTCTCACATGCCCCCTACTGGGGACCTGACCTGCAACCCAGGCATGTGCCCTGGCTGGGAATCGAACTGGTGACCCTTTGGTTCACAGGCCAGCACTCCAACCACTGAGCCACATTGGCCAGGAAAAATTTCATCTTTTAAAATTTGGTTCATATTTGTACCTATATGCCTCCTTTTGAATCCTGAAATTTGTCATCTGTCCAAATTATTGTCTAATTTTAATGAATATTGAATTTGTTTCCAAACTTTCCCTGCCTGTATTTTGGGAGCCACTATGAAAAACAAAATTCTCAAATACTGAATCTTCAAACAGTCATTTATTTACACTTACTCATGATAGCAAATGTTGTGAATATTTCCTGCTATATGCCAGGAACTGTGACCAAATGTTGAGAAACCTTCATTCTTTTGTGAAAATATTGCTTTAGTTACCCGGCCCTAGACCCAAGACCAGACATGGGATTACTCTGATAGTACTCAGAGGAGAGGGTTTTGGGAGGAGAGAGGCATTAGCTTTCAAAGGAAAGAGAGAGCAAAGCTATCATTCACACAATGACCTCATTCACAGTCTTTGTTCAGATGGCTCTCCCTTCCACCTCCACCTGGGGTCAAATTGGACTATGTGATTTCTCTCAATACCTGTACTGAAAGCAGGTACAGCAAGCAGGTGTTCTTATCTCAGCCAATAAACTTTATGTCTTGTTTGGTGGGTCACCATTGAACAATGAGGAGCTGAGCATGCAGAACCAAACATAAGTTTTGTGGTCTACATTTTCCCTGATGGAGAAGATGACATGGCCTCTACTTTCAGCAGGGCAGAATTCCATTTGCCTGGTCACACAATGATCATCTGATATAAGTAATACCATATTAGAAGGATTGGAAATTCATTGGGAAAATATAAAGCAAATGTTCTATTTAAGAGAAAAAATAGTACAAATAAATGACACCAAAAGAAACACCCAAGATTTTAAAAATCTTGCCCACAAGCAGTCCATTTAGCTGAGTCAAAGTGATTTCTGGGAAGATTGATCAACTGTGCACCGACAAAAATGTCTGCACCACTTGTAAACAATGTGCTCAGGAACTGTGCATCTAGTATTAACCTTGGAGGAGCCACTTGCCTCGCCACTACCTAGTCCAGATCACTCTTGGTGGTAATCTCTCCATTTAGGGGCTTTGCCTTCTCATAAGAAGCTTAACACTTCAGCTAAAATAAACATTTTGGACTTTTCTCTTGGGTCCTCTTTCCAGCACTGAAAGCCAGCTTAACCCCAAGGGCAGGCTGGGGAGGGATTTGAACTACTTCAG